TTCGCGTTCGTGCCTGGCGCTATCGTGCCTGTCGCGTCGAGATCGAAGTTGATCGAATTCAAGAGAACTCCAGGCCCTAGCGGGACTGTTCTCGTGGTCATCAGTGGAGGGAAGGCTCTGAGCGTCGAAATGTTTCACATTCTCGACATATCCCGGAACTTGTCGATTCCGCTAATCAAGACCAAGATGGCCGGGGCCGCTTGCTCGAGGGGCCAACATTGTTTCTCCTCTTCTTGAGGTCTCTTAAGTGATGCCGCTCATCCTCGCCGAAGACTTCCTCGAGACTCTTGGACCAACCGCTGATGCGGAATTTTCGTCTCGAACGTCCCCTTCCGGTGGGAAACCCCCGTTCGTCCTCGTGTCGGGTAGTCTTCCGAGACACGGAAGCTTGAACGCTTATACGCTCAAACGAACAGATGGGCGCTCTTCTTCTGAAGAGATTTGAGGGAAGAATCAGATTTCGAGCTTATCTCCGCAAAGAAGTTGCGACATCGGGAGAATAAAGAGCTTGCTGGAACCTGACCGGAGCGACAGCTCTTTTCAACAATGTTTCAGATTATGTTGGAGGGGATAGGGCGAGACGGTCGATCCCGCGGTCGAGCGGCCGCTCGGCTGTCGTCGATTCTATGAATGAAGAGATTACATCAGTGTCCACTCGGCATTATAAACGGGACCAGGAGCCACGCGGGCGGTTCCATGCTGCGTCATCCCCTGTATCATACTTGAATGGCGAGATATGTTTTTTTGCATCCCCTTCCGAAAGACAGGGATGCTTCAAAGGGTCGGTCCACCGAATACAAAGGGGAATACTCGAAGCGAATAAGTGACCACTGTCTCTCGAGGACGAGTCCTCCTACAGTTCCATCTGAAGAAAATTTCCCGCGAGTCTTCCGAGAGCGGAGTCAGTCTCAAGTATCGCGGAACGAAGACCCCTGCGCTCGTTTCCAAAGAATCCAGACCTGCCTGATGCCGAACATTCTCTAACCCCGGGAAAAGGCCCCAGGGAGAGAGGTGGAGGCTCTGAGAAATTGAACCACAGGAACACAAGGAACAGATTTGGGCAAGAAAAAAGGGTCGGGGAGGGGTGAGCGCTACCACATCATGAATTCGTCCATCGACGAATGAGTGTAGACCAGCGGCTATTGCGCGGAGACTCGGCAATGTTCTCCCGGACGAAAAGCAGCGAGATTTTCGTTTCCGATTTGGAACAGCTGTAGGAATAGGTGGACCCCATCGCAGTCGATCCTTCAAAACAGAACAGCTCGGCTCCAGGGGAGTGTGATGAATTATTTGCATTCACACACCGAAAAGGAGATTCTCTTTCGGGTGAGGAAACGGGTGTCGTCTCAGACGCTATTCCTGCACTCTGTTTCCCATCGGTGTTCCTCCGTCTCCGGAACATCCACCGGAGGACCGACCATCATGCGAGTCGACAGGTGAGCAGAAAGGAAGGATGATGGTCTACCAACGCTGCCGATCGAAAGGAAAATCCCTGCGGTCAGTCGTGAAACGCGCCGGAGATCGTCCTGAACTCTGCAACGCGGCGTCGCTGTTGAGTAGTTGCAGCTTGCGAGAAGAACATTTTTCAGGGAGACCTTAATCATGGTAGAGATTAGGGAGTGTGATAACCCCCAATTTCCTCCGAGAGTCTCCATCTGGATCTTCCGCGGGGAATAGCCCGTAATAAGCATAGGCGATTCCTTGTGGTACATAATGTACATCGCGAAGAAGGGGTCGCTGCTAACGGGTTTTTGAGTGCGGACCTGTTGCCAAGCGAGGCTTCCTCCGATATACGCACAATCTGATGGAACATCGTCCCGCTGTATCGACTTAATTGAGATGAAGCATTGTAGCTCTGTTTGCTCAACGGAGGGAGGATGGAAGAATAATAAGTGAATGGCCCCGTGGGGTCGACTGGTCAAATCGATGAATACCGAGATGGGATTTGTCACTTGTCACTTAGAGGGTGACACCGTCTCCGACAATAAATCGAGAGGGCTTGTCTTGGCTCGGACGTTCCCTGAGTGACATTGCCGCTGTATATAATTGAGCTAATAATCACAAGGCTTCCGGGACGGCAGCAAGGGCACGGACACCGAGTGCCCTCACTGCTTCGACGACCCTATACAGAAATAAATACTTTTATATATATAGTTGACTGATCGACCCCATCTTGCGCGAGTTTGCTCTGCTTGGAACCATCTATCTTCATCTTGGGTTGCTTCTCACGTCCGATCCACTTGACGTCTGATAGAGGCGGCTTGGCAGACTGTTGAGAAGAGCGTCGTATCGTCGTCGTTGTCGTGGATGATGAGCCTGCCACAGCAGCTGGAACCGCTAGACAGGCAACCGGGACTCTGCGAGACCAGCAGTCGCTCACTTTGTGCGCGGTGAACGCCTAAGGTGCCCTCAATACGACCAACGTGGTTCAGGAAGAGCTCCTATGCTTCGTTTCTGAGGCCCCGGGGTCGATCCACAGATACGCCCCCGGCCGGTGGATCCCGTCGTCGGGCTCATTCATCCGAGCTTCTCCGATCTCTGAGTTAATCTGCTCTCGTGCCGGGGGTCATCCTCGAGTAAGCCGACGCACGCAGATCCCGTTCCCTCGGCGTCTCAAAGCATTCTCGAGGAATACTCCTGTGGATATCAACTTCATTGTGAGTTAATTTCGTCACCAAAGCGGTCGGCCAACCTTTCCGAAGATAGATCGGTTCTGCGTTGAGGGCCGAACCCTAAGCCGGGACCCTCGTCCCCAGTCGTAAGATCCTCGCTCTCGATTTGATCCGACTTCAGATGGCCAGCGGTGAGCCAACCGTCCGAGAGGTCGCGCTCTCAGGGCACGAGGACGTTCCTCACCAATGATATCACGGCGCACCCAGTCCGTCTACTCAGGCTACCTTGAGTCATTGGGCAGGGAGCAGGCGGTATAGCACTCGGATGATCACGGAGTTATCACTGCGGGTCTCCCTATCAGAGCCATCGTGGCCCCCTTGCTCTCCAGCGAATTGCCGTCCACATCTTGCTGTCGGAGCGAATAGGAAGGAAAAGCTTTCTCAGGAACCGATGAATCGATGTATTTCCATGGGAGCCGCTAGCGGAGTCCGAACAATGAATGTGTCTCCCTACGGAAGGCCTGGTCTCCGTTTTGCGGTAGGGCACTCTGTTCTGACAGCTCGTTGTCGTCTTCGGCGGAGAAAGTTTCGCTAGAGGCAAACTCATTCGAGCGAGCGAGAGCAGCCCAAAATTTCCATTAGCCCGACCTTGTTCCTGCCCGTGGTAATGGTGTTCACCTTAGCTAAGCGAAGATAAAACTCCGCTCTACTGAGCCTCTAGAGTAGTAGTAGTCTTCTTCTTCTTCACTTGACGACACGTTTTTCCCTCCGTTTCGAGTGGAGAGAATCGCGGTTGGACGTACGCTCCCCGACCCCATTTCGCCTCCCCATACGGGGATGTTCTTCGCGCATGAGCTATTCACACACGAGATTGCCTCCGGATCAAAATCAAATCCAACTCGCGCACGAGTCCTTTGTTCGCTGTTTCGGAGCGTCGAAAGCTCGAATCGGTTCCCGTCGAGAAAAAAATATCTCTGCGGTCAGAAAATCCCACCCGGACAGACCGAGATCGATATCGTGTCCGGTGCGTACCGTGGCTTTCGGCCGGTTAGAATACAATCGACTCAGAAAGTGGCACGAGACATTTTTTGAGCAAGATCGGAGCTCGGCCCACTCCGTGACGTCGAGATACGCCCCTTCTTCAATCCGGTCAGGATCAACCTACGTATCTTCGATTGGAGCCGATTGCGCCTTCAGACTCCGGACGGAAAATCATCTCCAAGCTCCCATCACTCTTAAAATCGCCACCACATGACACGAACCTCCATCCCGTATACTTACATCGATCGGAGGCCCTGAAACTATTTCGGACTATCCTGTTTTGGAGGAGGATATTTCGAGATCCGGATCAATTTCAGTGCACGAGCCTCGAGCACGCTGCAGGGTCACTGTGGTATGAAGGAACTCGAGGAGCTTCCGATTCGTTCCAGAGCGCGATCTGATTATTGGGCTGTTATTCTATGCGAACGCTACACGGGTGCCAGCTGCGACGTTCGAAGATCTCATGGCGCGAACACAGCGTTCTCAGCTAACGAATCCGGAGCTTCGGCTCGTTCAATCTATCGCCCATCTGTCATCATCATGAGAGGATTCAGGATGGCTCGGACCTTGTGATCATTTTTTTAAATTGGATGATCATCGCAAGAGGCTATGGGTTTTACCCTGGGAGGGATATCCGTATACGTCCTGGGTTTCTGTCCGTGGTCTGCATTATCGAAAGGAACAGCGGACCAAATGTCATTCCGTGCGACGGCCCTGTTGCTGTTCCAAATTCGGCTCCCGTGGCTTGAGCCCGTTCATGAGCGTAGAGATTCAGCTGCAACTTCTCGGTTCGCCTTCTGGGTGTGGAGTCACTCGAGATCTGAGGACCCGATCGTTTCTCAACGAAATTCCGTCTCTGCTGACAAATGAGCCGCGGAACAATATACGACTCGGCTCTCGAGCGCCAGACTCGGTGAACGTCTCCGGTCACTGATACGCCTTTATATGCTGTCGACGTTCGATGGCGTACAGTTGTATACGGAGCCAGTCGATGGCTTTACAACCCACGCGTGCCTGCGCAGGAACTCCCTCCGACTGTCGTCAGCAGAAACATCCCGAGTATAAATTATACATCGATCCGCCTATGGAAGCATAGCAGTAGTTGTCAGTTTCGTCTCTGCCTGAAAGTTCTCTTCAATATCCTCAACATTGTAAATTATTCATTCATTTCAGGTGATTTCAAGAGGCTGTCGGTTTCCCAATCGGATCGGATATCAACCTGGACAACACAGTTGATGACGAACAGCAACAGGAGCAAGAGATACTGAAGGGGTTCCGCTCGAGCCTCCATCGCAAAGGCTCCCGAATGTCGGCGAGCTCCTGGATATCCGAATGGGGGGCCATCAAAACACATGTTCCAAGATGATGATTGATTTAAGAGTCAATCTCAGACGGTCGTCGCTGTTTAGTCTTCGTTAGTGCTCATCTGTGCTGCTTAGGACGGTCGACGTGCGCGTGTGCTTTTGTTAGCTTGGATTCGCCGTCATTCGCTCACACGCAGCTCGAGGAAGAATGGCCGAACTTCATTTTCGGAGTCGACATTGTCCACTAGGGAAGGACAACCTGCCAAAGTGTTTTTTTGTTGGCCTACTTCTGCTTTGGGTCGCTTCACTCGTGCAAAGTGAGTACCTACAATAACGAAGAACAGGCCATAGGTTTCGGGTGGGGAGAAACATTTTGAGTTCTAATCGGGAGGGAAGCGGAATGGCTCTCGTTAGAAATAGGTCCCTATATACAAATCAAGTTTGCGTTAACTTCATTAGTATTCCACTCAAATTTGAAGCCCTCGGGGCTCAAAATCGTCGTCTCGAGAACTCCGACGTCCGAACTTCCGTGCGGAGGATCCTCGAATCGAGCGAGGAATATTTTCTGAGATCGCCAAGAATAATTGAATATTTATCATGCACTATTCATCTACCTATCTATCAGGGGTGAACGGTGGACTCTCTGTTCCTGTATCATCGCCTTGAGATGCCGCTCGGTGGAAGCTGTGTCCCCGGAAGTCTGGAGTGGCATATGCCAGCCCAGACCGAACTTCGACCGAGTCTCAAAAGAGACACGAGATTAGAATTTCTTCGCTGTGGCCGTTTCATTGATTGATGTCTCCGAACGAACCGCTATTATTAGACTCTGAAACGATCCGGCGTCAGGCGGGGAAGGGTTGAGGGGACCGGGGGACGAAGCTCGGAGGGGCATGGTGCTTGTTCGCCTCGGTGGCGCCAGTTTCGCGGCAGAATGATGCTCTTGAGGAACAATCGAAGTGACAGCGCGAAAACTCGGAACGGGTCTGTAGCAGCCTTCATAGAACAGCCTTCACAGCGGACAATTGATCAGATCGGCTCTACTCGTCAAAGAGAAACAAAGTTCAACATGCGGCGGCATTCGACGTCCCTCAGGGACCACTTTGGAGTCACCTCCTTACACAGGTTCGACGAGGGGACGCGAAGCGAGTTCGAGCGTCGTACTGTTATTCGGGGGAAAGGCGGGGGGAGGAGTTTGAGGAAGCGGTTGTCTCCTGGTCGGAGAGCGCATAACTCTTACTCTCAGCAATCCAAGATGAGCCGGAGCCGCATGGACGACTAGGGATTCCGGCTGAGTACGACTCGCCAATCGTCCGTGGAAGATTGAACCTTACTCGTTACCACCGCTGCGGACGATAGCCATTTCCGACTAGTTTTTACGCTAATGGATCTCGGAAGGGAGGGAGGAAACACGACGAATCGATGCTTCCATGCTCAGTTGGAGAAAGGAAAAACGCGTGAATTATTTTTTATGATCGTTTCTCAAAGTCTCTCGGAGACCAGGAGCCGGCCGAGCATCATACCGCGGCGGCACCACAGTGGTCGCAGGCCAGTGGAGTATCGTTTCTCGAATCCCGAACGGGGGAGGACAGCCGATGTAGACGAGGGATGTACGTACAAATCGGAAAGCTGCCTGCCGGCTCCGTCGGCGTTTGCGATGGACTTTCGTTGCATCCAGCAACACGATGCATCACGTTCAACGGCGCGCACGTCCATACATAGCAGTATATGCAGGGGCTGTTTGTGTAACTAGAATCAACGTTGGGCTTCCCGGCCCCTATTCCGTCCGTACACAGCTCCCGACGATCACAGCCGAACTCTTCGACCGACGACAGAATAATACAGCCTTATTTATATTGTCGGATGGGCCGTGCATTAGATGTTCATCTGACATTTTTCTCGCCATGTCGGCCCGGCTGTAACGTCCCGTGTACATACTCAATAATTCACGGCATCCTTTCATCATTGTTTAATACGACTTCGCGAGAATGCGTTCGTGTGTACATGCCCCTTTCATTCACTCGTCCTTTCGTGCTGCGCTCATTGAACTCGATGGCCGTTCGCATGGAGCCGTTTATCAAGCCGTACGGTCGACATACATCCAGTTGTGAGCGAGCGTGCTCGGGGGGTTTTGGAATTCCTCCGAAAATTCTCAAAAGAGTCCGGTGATCGGTAATTTTCCTCCCGGTCGTGGATTCTTGAGATTCGTCCCACACCGGACAGATCTAGCGGTCATCATTTTGCGGACGGGGCAGTGAAAGAATGACTAAGTGAATGAATGGGAGGAACAGAGAAGAGAATTCACCCCACGTTTACGGTCACTCATGCGCGCGGCACAGGTATTCGCGGAATTCGGTCATCGAGAGCGGGATCTTGGGACTGTAGTTCGCAGATAATGAGCAGAGGAGGCGGGGAAGTCTGCTCGTCGTCCGCACAAAGAGCCCACCGCATCCGCCAAGTGAGCTTTGGTGCGGAAAGTCCTGGAGATATTCGCTCGCCGTTCTCCACCCTTCGCAGTGGACCGATTCAGTCGACTCTCAACTCGAGGGCACCCCCGAGACGTTCCAATGTTACCATTGTTGCTAATATTGAGATTTGTTAGTTGACGATGCGGAGGGAATTTCGGAGAGTTCCTCCAACAGCCCAAACTCCGCAATGTCTGACTGAGCACCAGTTGAGGGCTGGAGGCAGTCATAATGGATCTGAGGAAAAATCCCGGATCCTGCCGCGCGAAACGACCGGGGCAAATATTGCGAAGAGTACCGACGTAGAAAGAAACAAACAGCCGTCACGAGTTAGGGTCTAGCCTTACGATCTCTCGCGCTATGTTCGAGCGCGGGAAAGTTTTCGGAGTTTGTGGCCAGCTTACGTCGCTTGGGGACTCCCATAGTGTAAGCACAGGCGCTCAACTCGGTCCCGAAAGGAGAGATCTCCGAGGACAACAATATGCGACGTTTTCATTCCTCGTCTAAGCTCGGTAGTCCAACCAGCGCGACGGGATCCTCGCGCGCCCCGACCGGGAGCCTCAGGCGCTATGGAGAAAAAAAACACGTTATTTATCAAGCGAACCATGTCTCTCCGAGCTCCTGAAGAACACATTGGCTGTTTTCTCGTAGCAAGGTTGGAAAGGTCTTTTTTCGAACCGATGGTCAGACGTTGGAGTCGGTGTTGTGTGACAGAATCACACTCGGAGCCGTTAGCGAGCCGGAAGCGATGACTGTGTTCCGAATCCAGTCGGAGAAGACTCGTTAAGTCCTAAATCGATCTCAGATCAGAAGCCGAACTCCGAGATACGAAGCGACCGGGATCTGCGCTCTCTCATTTTTCCCGATACGTACAGAGCTCCTGGTCTTTCTCATGCTCTCCTCTTCGACGTTCTCGGTTGTTATGTATCCGGCAACTCCAGGGGGTCTCCGAATCCGACTCCTTCCTCCCGGCATGAGAGCTCTTTTATTATAGTGCTCTCGTCGAATATCATCACGCTCAAAGAAATGTTCCTTCCGACCGGATATTCGATCACAAGGGAGAAATTGCTACGCGTCGAAGGAGCTCGTGAGGAACTTATCGATTCATTCGTTTCGACCCATGAAGCTCCTATTAGAAACAAAGATTTTCGGAGAAAAGGAGTGATTGTTAATCAACCGGAGTGGTCGAGTAATACCTATTCGAGCGCGTTCATCGACCATCCGACTGGTATGCCTCTCGGACGCCCTTTCACTCATAGATCATCTATCCATGTGTTTCGTCGATTTTTTTTCTCTTACTCCCGCTATATCCGTCTATTTATCTCTCTTTGTGTATCTTTCTCCCGATGGATTCTCTCCATCGTTGTCTGTGTACTTCAGCCGCAGAAACATCAGCGGAGTTCCAAGAGCTGACGGCCTCCGTCGCCGCAGCAGCAGCAACATCCTGTTATTGCATTAGGTGAACAGCCTTCTTGGGGAAGCGACCCTACAAGATTGGCTCGTGGGTTGCTCGCTTGCTTCGCTGGCTCCCCGGGTCCGGCAGCAGTAAAGGCTGTCGGGCGGACGGGCTGACGAGCTACTGGTTTCTGACCGTCCACGAGAATAATCTTATTAGACGAAGAAGCCGGCAGTCGGAGTTCTATCCTCCTCCGAGGTCTTCCTTTGCCACCTCGCTGCCGCAGAAAAAAAACACAACAAAAAGCTACGTTTGCCATGACCACTGTGTTGGGTCAGTCTGATCGGCCGAGCGTCCGGGAAAGAAAAGCAACGGAGTTCGAGAACGAGGTCATCACCTCACCCTGCGGGTAGGAGGCGGATGCGAAATGCTCGAAGATAGTCGAACATAAACTCCAGCCGGGATTTGCACACATGATGGACCGGCCCCGGTACTCGGAGTTCAAACCGCCATTGACGGCTGCATGGACGGTCGATATTCAAATAATCGCCAGGGTTCGTTGAGGCTTTGATGCGTCCCCATAAAAACGTAGGGGATACGCAACCGCCTGTGCCGAGTCAATCCCTGAGCGACCGAACGGTGCAACGCTCCGATTCAAAGACTGGGGCCTGAAGAGCGGGAAGATCGTGGTGGAAGAAAATGAACGACTGAAGGCTTCAGTGACGCTCTCCGTGCCAGCTCGCTCTAAGCAGATGAAGATTAATAGAAATAAATAAATGGGCGACGGCCACCCGACTTGCCGGTAGGCAGTCAGCTGGCTTTCGTTGCTCGTGTTCTCTTCGTACTTTGCCGGCTCGTGACAAATAGGGCTTGTGTAATGACCTGCAACACGGTCTGCATAGACGGCGAGCAGCCCGCCGGTCGACCGGACAAGCGGGCCCGGAGATTCGCTTGATGGCAACTTGGAGCGCTGTCAGACGCCAGCCGTTCTTTTCAGAGGCTGCTCGCGATATGGCTCTTGTCAACATTAGCAGCGTCGTAGACCGAACAGCAATATTCACTTCGCTCATTGACGCGGCCGGTCTGGCTCTGCGAAGCCCCAAGCGAATTAAGCCCAACCATCCGCCAAACGCACCCGGCGGTCTCCCCTCCGCGCGACGTCTACCTTCCTCCATCATTGACAAACCCACTCGAGGTTGATTAAGATCGATCATTCCCCCCATCACGAAGTCGTCCACGGAATAGATAGATAGATATTCGATTGAATGGACCCACGCGGGGTCCCACTTCCAAAATAAGCGACGACTTGAGCTTTAATCGTGATTCGATTACATATTCAGGACAGCGTTCGCAGTTTGTAGAGCTTATCTCATTTTCGGATAGGGTGATTCGACTAGAAACGCCTACTCAAAAAAATTACGTAGGCGGCAGAGCCCGAGCTGTTAGATTGGATCGCGCCTGTCACACAAGCTCGCTCATCTGTATCTTCCGTAAACCTTCATCTACGTAGGTACACAAGCTGCCGGATTCCCTCAACGGAACTGTCTCGTCACGTTCCTAGGGAAATGAGGACTTGGAGAGCTCGCCTGTCCCGAGCGCTATTTCGCATCGAACGCTTCCCAAACTCACCCGCCTTGGGCTGCCAACGACTCCTCCTTCGTGTGGAAACACACGGGAACGGCTTCAATGTGGGAACTTACGCAATTTTTTTCTTCCGTTCCAGGCGCCGCTGCGGTCACAGTGACCGAAGTTCGTTTACAGACGGATTCAGCGACGCAAGATCAGTTTGTCCTAGAAGGCGAACCGGCCAGTCTCGTGTGTTTTTTTCAACTGAAGCCCAATGAAGAAATTCAGAGAGTCACGTGGATTAAGGACGGGACGGACGAAGTCTACGTATGGAGACGAAAGTTCCAGCCTCTGGCCAGGCTCCTCTTTCAGGACAGAACTGATCTGTTGAACAGGTGCGTATAATATTCCACGTCGAAAACGAGTTCCAAAGTGAACTGCTCCCACCCAGACAGCTCTTGCTACGAATCTCGGACTACGGTCGTTCACAAAATCCTCGCGGCTACATATGCTGCAGAAGACTTCACACGAAGTTTGAAGGTCTTCGCCCGGCACCCTCCGCCGGAGGCGACAGTGGGACGGAGAAAATCTCATTCATTCGCTCCTGACGTTGTACATACTTGCTGCCTGATTGCGATGGTGTCTTTTCTTCCCGAGGCTTTGAGTCTCGGCATCCTGACTCCGCTGATTCATTCTCGGAGGGTCGAAAGGTGCTCTCGACGGAACTTATTGAACATTCGAGCGCTGTCTCCAGAGATCCCGTTATGCATGCAGGTACTTCATCATAAGCGGCTTGCCGTAATCCCTCCGCGCTCGGGCCTCCCGGTCGAACGGCCGAGAACGGTAACTCCCGTCATGAATTCGTCGTCGTCGTCGTCGTCATCTCTGTCTGAGCGCCCTCGGAATAGACTCTTCCAACCTTCGCCCCGGCATTTTCTCAAAGTATACTCAGACAGTGTAGATAAAGTAGTCTGGCAGCCATCGACATTTCCCGATGGCAATGATCTGCCGGAGTCGAGTCAGACAACGGAACGCTGTTTGGCAGAGACTTGTACGCGCCGTCCGTCTATCGGAACCATCCCGAGTGCTGCACGCTTCTCAGTCTCTGTAAAGAGGAATAGGAGCACAAACATACATTCGTTGGACGTACCGCGAACCCCAGAAGACAGCCCGAAGGCATCCGAGACGGGCGAGAATGGGAGATACTCAGCTGTTGTCGATGCCGGCGGTGTTGTTTCGTCTCGTGTTCCCTTGCTCGAGAAGCACGGGTGGAACACCGATGGACGCGTCTACGGAGCCGCCCGTACGAGCAGCTTTACTGAGGAGCCCTCACGAGCAGCCCTCACGAGCAGCCCTCACGAGCAGCCCTCACGAGCAGCCCTCACGAGCAGCCCTCACGAGCAGCCCTCACGAGCAGCCCTCACGAGCAGCCCTCACGAGCAGCCCTCACGAGAACCCGCACCGTTTCCCCTTTCGTCACTCAGACGCTCACTCGTCCCAGTGAACGCGGACAGCTTTGCTCGGCAAACGAGTACGGCGGGCGAAGCACGCTATCACGCGAGCTGTGCTCATCCCGGCTCGTTGTTGTTGTCGTGGAGAATTCTTTTCGTTACACGATCGTTGGTCGAAAAGTCCCTCTGGCGGACGCGATAGAATCTCCGGAAGGACCAGACTCGTATGCTCCGGAATCGAGCAGCCGTGCCGAGCACTGGCCGGCCGAGCACCGGCCGAGCGACGGACCGACCGAAAGGCGGAAAGAGAGGCGGACGGGAATGCGAGCGAGCGTGCGTGCATGCACGCAGACAAACAAACAGGCAGGCAGGCAAGCTGGCAAACAAGCCCAAGTGGAGAATGCGAGTCAGAGAAGCGACTCAAGAAGACAAGCGAAGATGGCAATGCAAGCGGACGAGCACTGGCGCGCAAAAAAGACAAATGAAAACGGCATTGGGCTCTTTCCGCCCGGAGTCGCGTTCCGCTCAGCGAAACCCCACGAACGCTTGTGGAACACAGCACTCGCCCTGCCGCCGCCGCGCCGTCACCACCACCGTCGTCGCAGTTTCCGCCGATTTCGTTGCTGAATGAAACGATATTGCACAAATGTTGCCTTTCTTTCTTTTCCTATCGGATTCTGCTTCAGAGAACGCTCGTGCATACTTTTGCTTCACTTGTTCCTCGAGCGCACAGACCAGCGACCCGGCCGGCGAGCGTCTTCCTCGGAGCACAAACGGACGAAGCGAGAGATTTTTTCAAAAAGTATACATCGCATTGCTCGATTCTTTGTCTCTGTGCGTGCGCAACGCCTCCTCTGGCAAGAGACAGGCTCCCGAATACCTTTTTTCCGATAAGGCCTCCGACGAATGCTTGGCGCACTCTCGAAGCTTCTTTCTATCGAGTTCGAGACGAACCTGACGAGGAAACTTCTAAACGCTGATGCTCAGTTCAGACTCAATTTTGCTGAACTTTTCCTCTTTCCGCCCCCCTCCCCAGCGATCGCCAGCAGCAGTTCGCCCGAACAGTGGGGCCCCGACAAAATCTCATCGTATCCCTTTGAACTTACAGATCACCATCATTTGTAAAGATCGACTACGCTCATCGGTCGATGCAGGGAAACTACACGTGCCGAGTGGAAACGGACAAGGGTGTCTCAGAAAACGACTTTTACTTGATAGTGATCGTCGACTCGTGCAAAGAAAAGTCGTGGACAACGTACTCCGACAGAATAGGTTAGTCCGCGAACGGCTGTTAGGAGAGGCCCTAGCCCTCCGTTCCGCTTAGCTAGCCATTGCATGTTTCTGATGTAAGTCCGAACAACGTTTCGCACTGCGCCATTCACTGCCCCGACGACGTGGTGTTCCTTTGTGCGACAAACCCATTCCCTACATGTGAGCCTCCAGGTGCAGTCGCGGATATTTTTGTGAGGATCTATTCCTCGCGACACGAGCGACAGGGAACTCAGCACGAGATGTCGTCATGCCTCGTGCCTTCTCCGTGATCCATCCCGTCTCGGTCTGACGAGAGGATCGGGCACTCACGCAGTGTTCCATAGCCCTTGAGAGAGCAGGCATTCGGGGCGCCCCGAAATTTTTCCCCATCGATCCGAATCTTCTCCAGCGCTCGTGCACCTGGGCGAATTGGGTTGTGCCGATAGGCACTGCTCCTTGGAACAGGACCCCTCTCGAGGCAATGGTCGTGAAAGCACGTAAATTGGGTAGAAAGATGCGGAAGTGCGACCGCAGGCGATCCGGAGTGGTTCGCTGTCGTCTCCACCACCTCTCTAATGGCTGTGGGAATCTTCTTTTAGGTTGCACCGAAGAAATTCGACTCGATTGTACTGGCATGTTTCCCAAACCTTCTCCTGCGTGCGGCGTGTACAACGAGGCAACGCAATCCTATTTGTCGACTGTAAGTTCCTCGCTTCCTCGCCCCCTCCCGTCATTCTCGGAAGCGATTCGACATAGCTTCGAAGAATCCGTCCGCGCCACCGGAACATTGCGAGCTTCCCTCGCGTGAGCTGAGGGATCTGAGAGATTTTCGACTTGATCCGACTCGTCTCGTTCCTGCAGGTACCTTTCGACACTGTGAAGCCAGTTAATGGAACATATGATGTACAACTGCATAGGATATTCAGGATCAAAGATTGGATCGAATACCGGAACATATCGTTTCGGTGTCATGTCATTGTTCTGGGCACTGAGTGGAGAACTGGTGAGTCGCATCGGAACGAAGGAAAACTGTACCTCGTATTTGATATTCATTTCGAATTTCGAAAGAGATTCCGCCGTGTTCCTACTCCTTAATAAAAGTGAACGGCTGGTAGGCACGTGTTGCGAGGATCACAAAATATATATTCGAGTTGTCGTCGAGAAGGCTTGTAGAAAGTGCATCGCTTCTCCGAGGGGGAGGAAACGAGGAGAGAAACGTAGATAAATCGCAGGAAGAATGCGCCAGACGCCGCTCACGGCAACTGAACCAAATAGGCCACGGTCGCTTTCCGCGAGTTTTTTTTCTTCCCCGAAGCAGCCCGATGTAGCGCTCCCACTCACTCAGCAGTAGTAGATCGCCGTTCTGGGCTCCCTGGTGCCTTCTACTTCTCTCAAACCCTTCCACTCGGAACTGAGTTAGAGCGTGTGCGCGTGTATTTTCCCCCCGAGGGAGCGGGTCCGCCACTGGTGGCCGAGGAGATGCAAGCGGCGGTACTTTGACATTTGCTCTTACGTGACCTTCGCCTCGCTTGCAGGAATGACGCACCGGCTCTTCGGCGATCCCGGCTGTTTGAAGGATCCTCCGGAAGTGAGGAACGGCTCGTTCAACCTCACGGGTGAACTATCGTGTTGGGGCACGCCGGCTGAAGGTGCCGTAGTCCAGTACTCATGTCCAGCCGGCTTCAACGTTCGAGGGCATTCCAAGATGGTGTGCAAGAACGGCACCTGGGTCGGGGTCATAGGAAACCGGAACCTCGACGAGTTGAACTATTCCCCGTCGGAAGTTATCAGCTGCGGTAAGTTTGCCGACCCAATGCCGCATCATTCTCAAATGTCGGTGGTTGCTCCTAAATATGGAAGCGCAGCACGCGAACGGAGCATCGACTGACAAAACGAAAACTCGTTTTGGGTTTCTCTCTGGCCTCGACTCGTTCGAAATGAATGTCAAAGGTCAGGTCGCTCCCTGCAAGAGGAAAAAATATTAGAGTAGATCTCCTATGTCTTCTTGTCAAACGAAGACGTCGAATCGGTGCCGGTACACATCAGGAATACACCCAGGGAGATTGCTTCTATTTTGAAATTGACGCATCTAACCATTCGTTCTGTTGTTTGTTTTCCCGTCCCGTGTTCAGTCCGGCGTAAGTGAGACGTCGCTATCTAGAGATTCACGGCACGTCGTACTGGCCACGCCAAACGAGATGCAACCTCCCGCGCTGTCCGGGAACTCCGTACACGTCAGACGACGTCGCCTGCTTTTTTGTTGCTTCTGGGAGTTCGCCTACCGAGAACTGTTACTGTTTTTTTATTGTTCCATTTCATGTAGCTGTGGTGATCACTATCATCAATAAACACTTTTCGTTGCGTTCTTCTGCGTCGTCCGAGTCGTTACTTTGTTTGCTCCGGATTTGTGTATTTTGGGTCACTCTCCGTCCCGACAGCGCTCTGGTTATCGAGATTCCAGGACGGTTCGATCCCGATGACTCATTGGCGAAGCTCTGCCCCGCTGCCCCCTCCCCATCCTGAATTCTTCTGCTCCGGTCGATGTTCCGACCCCTTTCCTCCAACGGAAAAATACTTTCGGCCACGAGAGGCGCAGTTCAGAGATAATCTCACTCGTAAGTGACATGTGATTCGTCCGGGAGCTCCAATTCATAAAGGCGATCTCTCCCGCCGATGTGGGGTGAGTCAGTGCTGAGCAGTTCCCTTCACTGGAGCAATTAATTTGCGGCACGTACCTCATCAACGTTCTCCACATTGGAGCCAAATAATTCTCCAGCTGCTGAGCATTGGGCCAAAGAAAGCATGAGAACGCATTTTGACGCTCCACTCTCTTGGGCGCCGCGTGATGACGGAAATTAATTAGTAGGAGACATATGGGTATGTGCGAGAGAATATTTTACTACGGGCGGGAGGTAGCGCGTCCGAATCGCCTGCATGGAATGCAGCACCTTACTCGGAAGTCATCGCTCTCGTCCCGCGGCGCCGATGGCGGTTGTCGCCGGAAACCCAAAAAGGACCACCGCATTTCCACGGAACGACGGGCGGGAGAGGAACACGGGCCGTGTTCGGCCGCTCCGATCGAAGCTTGATTGGAAACTCCCTCGGGATGTCGTTCAATACTAAGACGTGCCGTGGTCGCCTTTGTAAAAGCGATGATTGTCGCGTCCTGAGCTCGGCCCCTCCTCCGGCTCCTTCCTTCATCCCGTCCGTCCGTCCGTCCTCCTTTCGTCTAATGTTGCGGAAACATACGAATCGCTAATGATGAGAAACGACGACACAGTCGGCGAAAGGAAGAATCAGTGTCAGAGACAGCGGACAGGCTCCGACTTCCGCGGTGCCATCAAACGGAAATAGAAGCACTTCTGGAGAATAGGAAAAGACGCTCTGAGTCACAGGAATAACCTCTTCTCCCCGTAAGTACGCTAGCCGACTGCGGGGCTGCCCCTGGACGTCGCTCTGACTGAGTTCTCTCTGCGTGCCCCGGGCGCCTCGACAAGGTCGGCGGACATTGAAAGAATACTCCGCTGGAGCATTCTGAGCTCAGCCGTCTCTGGTCTGTACCCATAACATGTTTATCGTCTGGGAAGAAGCATCTCGCCAGTCAGCTCCGCCGAAACTCGAGAGAAGAGCTGGCGAAAGATTTCGCAGCGATACGCTTCGGCCACAATTCCCGACCTCGATCTCAGCGTTGGAAACTCCCTGCTCTCTCGACGAATTGCTGGAAAATTCGAGTCCCGGCCCGCGTAATGTTCTGCACTGGAAGTCGAGTTTTTGAGTTCTGCTCCATGAGAGAGAGCCGTCGAGCAAGCGGTTTTTCAATTCGAGGCGCCTTCCACTTTTTCCCGTCATCTCTGACGGGAGCGCTATCTCCTGACGAGGGAAGAGTTTCATATCAGGAGCTGTGTTGCTAGACGGACGAACGAGCAGTCTTGTCAAGTAGACGACGCGGCGCAGGCTTATCGGTCGATTTTGCGCTCGGTCAGACACCGTTTTTCAGATAGACTCGCGAGTCCCGAGTCTGGACAAATCCAGTGATTTGACATGCAGTCAGGCGTCCCACCCTTGCATGAGGGGGTTTGGTGCTTCTTCGCGCATTCGTTTGTCGCCTACGCAGGGGAATATTTTTCTTTAGTCGAAACAAAACGAGACATCATCACTAGACAGTATATAACAGGATCTTACTTACTTAGACGAGTGGAGGCCGGGAAGCCCGTAGGAGGAGACAGCGGTTGAACCGCTGCACAACGCGAGGAGCCCAAAGCACTGCCGAGAGGGCTCGAAGGACGTGCGGATCCCTGGGAATCCTGATTTTGTTCAGGTTCGAAAAGGACCGACCGACTTAATGAAATCACCTCGATTCTCGGCATGCTCAAAAAGGCTCCTCGTACCGCTCCTCAACCGAGGGTGGAAGTCAGTTTACTACTTGCCCAGAGAAGAGGATCTCCGTGCGTCGAGAACCCTCGGTATTTTCGTCGCGGAGGAGTCTTACCGATGCTCCGTAATAGAATCCAAAGAGCGGAAAGTCGAAGATGAGATGAGGGAACATCTTTTTTTGGCGCGCTCGAACACCATTAAAAGTTCCCTCGAAACATTCGAGAGATAAGAAGACGCTGAGGAAGCTTCTCCCGAGCGTCAACTCGATAATCAGCGTTCTCTCTTCGTTCTCGCTGGGGGAAGGTTCAAAGATATCTCACCCTCGCGCAATGAGGATGTGCGCGGAGAATAATTCACCTACGGTCACGCCGTTCGTACTATGACCTCAATGGCGACTCCGAATCAGAATCACGAGCGTCTTCCGTTGTCGCATGCATCTTCATGATGTGTCACGCTCGGCATGAGAATACCTCGTCATAATTCATTATGTCTCTCATTTTCAGAGGAGGACAGCGCATCGACGGCACAGATCTCGAGCCTATTATTACTATTGTGTTTGATAGTCCATCGAACATTGTAATGATGCTCGTGTTTGAGGAAAAACTCCATTCCCATTCCCAAGGTGAGTTACGAAGGGGACATTCCAGAAAAATTAATCGAGACCTTCTCGTTGCCAGGATCCGAGATTGTAACCTGGGGAGGTTTCCGTACTCCTGAGGGATAACGATGAGGGGACTCTCGAGAGCCACCCAGTGTACTATATGCAGAACCCCTATTTGCAGATCCTATATCTGACCCAGAGCTCTCGCGCCTGCCAGGGATTCAATCGCCTACAACGAAGCGTGTGTACATTGACATCCGATAGTTAATCGTCGTTCCTATCGCTTCCCGTCCCGATGTCGCCCCTACAATCTAAACTTCCCACTCGCGTCATCATTATCAAGTGCTACACCGACTCCATTCTTATCTGCCTCATGAAGTTCATCGTCGACCGCATGCACATAGACTCATCGATTTCACAAACGAGCTCTCGAACTTCGTCATTAGCTCGCTATCAGAGACTTCATCATCATCATCATCCAGGCCATGATCACTATCATTATCGAGATTCGTGATAGTCGATAGAACTCCACAGATGACGACAAGACTTCGCTGCCGTTGTCGCACGCTCAGTTTCCGATAGTTCTCAGGTAGACTTCCTCTGTCTCCGCTGTGGAAGAAACGTCGGTTGGATTTCCCGGAGCAGCTCTGCGGCTTCAACAGCAGCAGACGAGAGTTTCGCGCGCATGGATGTACATATATACGATACCTCGGACGTCACACAGACAGACAAACAGGCTGTTCATGGAACAGCAATAGATCCGAGAGTCTTATCCGGAGCAACAGCCAGCTCCGGGTGAGGACTAACCAAGAAAACATGAGTGAGCTAAATGCGGAGGGATGGGTAGGAAGCAAAGGTCCAGCTCAGCGAGTGGTTTCTTCGGGAAGGAAGTCTTCGAGGTACACTGGGACCTATACTGGAATGGCGAGACCGACTTCGAGCGCTCAGAGCTTGCCGAAAACATTCTCGATTCGAATGCAGTAGGTTCCCTGAGAGATTATCCCCGACGGGATTCACTCCTTCGGCTCTCTTAGGTGCACGACCCGAACTATAACGTTTGATACTGATCTGTATTCTGTAGAATCTGAATCAGCGGTATGTGAGATGCCCACGAGTTTTCGGATCTTTAGCCGCTCGTGCAACGGGCTCGCTACTGGTTCGTCCCATCACTGCAGAGAGACAAGTACCCCGGAGGAGAGCTCTCTCAAAGATTTATTCATGAGTTCGACGTCGGATAAAATGGAATTTTCTATTAATAAAATGGATAAATAAAGCATGAAAATGAAGATGTTTCAACATTTACCCCGGATGTCTTCTCATTAGCCGACCGCCCGGCAACCGACCGAGGATTCGAATCTCCGCGCAAAAGCTCCCGTTCCCAGAACATCTCTAGGAGACTCCTCATCAACCCCCGTGCGCCTATGCGCCACTCAGATGGGAGCTTCCTATTACTTCTATATGGAACACCATCAGATGGATAATTTCCTCAATTGTCCCACGTCGGAATATAATGATTCATACGGTTTCGAGAATATTTATGCGGACAGGGGGTCACAGTCCCGACGGCCGGTTGGCTATCAACATATTTTGTTAGAGACCTAATCCTGGCAGGCGTCCGCCATCAAGAGTTACCGCGTCATTACGCGGAACCTCGCCATTATGGGACGACGACGACGGCGGCGGCGGCCGTGGGCAGCAGCAGCAGCATCATCATCATCAGCGAAGTCAGGCTCAACACCAGCACGCGAGTGTGCGCCCGCTTTCAGGCAAGCAGCCGATATGAGCTCGCCCTCCTTCATGGGCTCACGCGTATGTATCTGCCACTCTAATCTATATATCCTTTGCCTTTCGATAATGCCTTGTGCAAGCGACCAAAGAGCTCTATTCTTGCGATAGGAGTTCTCTTCGCGCGC